GACCTCCACCTTGAAAGTGCTGAGATTAAGGCCATGTACCACCACACCCAGCTTCCTGCTCACTTTTTCAAGATTGATTTCCATTGACACGATCTTAAGCGAGTCCTATAAGTAACTCTAATTGGACTCAGTAGGTCTAAAAACGAACAACAAAAAGAAGACACAGACTTGAGAGGAAGATGTCTTACCCCAACATCATCACCTTTTTGGCAAAGATCTTTGCCGATGTGATGTTCTCTCTCCTAAGGCTGTCTTGATTAGTCCTGTTTGCCCTTCTATTTCTTTCCCTGTGCGCCATTTGTTTATATCTCTGTCCTCTCCACTGGGTGGCTAGTTTCCCGAGGACTAAACCTGGGGCTGATTCCTCTGTACCCAAAATGTCCCCACTGGACTGTGCCGCCATAGCATTGCCTTTAATGAGTGTCATTTCAGGGGTTTTCTCTTATTCTAGACTGTCTTCAACATTGCCTTCTTTGCCTGATTCTTCAGTCCCCTTCCTTTCTCCCCAATCCCAGAAGCAATCCTGTTCTCCATTCATCAAGGATTAACTTCCAAATGAGGCTGGGGTAGAGAACACAGAGCTTGGGGGCAGGGGAAGCAAGCTGGCTATAGAAGTCAGAGCCAGAAGTCAGATCATGCCCATTAAAGAAGACTGGTGTGGCCTGTGGCCCACAGCCCAGAGCAATGCTCTTCCTTTGAGCCAGCAGCTAAGTCCCTCATTTCTTACCCTGGAAGGGACACCCTTCAACAGAGCAGGGATCCCGAGGCCAACTTTGTTGGTTTAGTTACGCTACAAGGCTTCTGCTCCTGCCCCTGCTGTTACAGCCTACAGATTTCTGGTACCAACCTGATTGAACAACTTAATTAAGATGCAATAAAAGAAAAGTGGTCCGGATGTGCCCCAGGCAGAGCAGTCTAGAGTCTGCAGCCACTGCCCCCTCTTGAGCCCAGAGCCCTTTCTCATCTTGCCTAAATGCCCTCCACCAGCAATGGCCTTAAAGGAGGAGCTTTAGTGTTGGGTGGCAGGGACTTTTAATGGTTGGTTAGTCACTCTGCCAGCTGGTTTATGTTGGTGGTGCGTCACCTCAGTCCACTGTCATGTCCAGAGAGGATGATGAAACTTCCCAGGTGTTCTAGGCCCTAGGATTTAGGACTTAACACCACCCAGGGCTTATCTCACAAGACCAAATAGGAGGAAGGAAATGCTTTAAAATGCTGAAACTGAGCCGGAGAAGTGGCCCTATGGCTAAGGCAGCACCCTCTGCTCTTGCAGAGAACCCGAGATCAATCCTAACACCCACCTCAGGTGGCTCTTAAGCACCTCAAACTCCAGCACCAGGGAATGCAACACCCTCTCACAGCCTTTGTGGGCATCCACACAGAGATACTCACGCATAAATAAAAATAAAATAACTTGAAACCCATGTTCTTGTTTAGTGCTCTGGATAATGTCTTCAGGAACCATACCTATTTAAGGGCTTTTTCTTTTTTTTTCTTTTTTTTTTTCTAGTTTTCTCAGAGTTGTGTCATCACCAACATTCGAGATGTTTTCAGCATTCCCCAAAGAAACCCAACGCCCCTTTGTTATGGTCCCTCCATCTCCTTATTCCGCTTAGTTCTGGGTGACCACTACCCTGCTTTCTCCCTCTGTCTGCATGCTCCCTCCTGTCCGCTCAGAAGTCAAGAAATATTCTATCCTGAATAAGCCTCATTTTAAAAAAGATTTATTTATTTTTACAGGCATTGGTGTTTTGCCTTCATGTATGTCTACGTGAGAGTATCAGGTCTCTGGAACTGGAGTTATAGACAGTTGTGAGCTGCCATGTGGGTGCTGGGAATTGAACCCAGGTCCTCCAGAAGAGCAGCCAGTCGTCTTAACCCCTGAGCCATCTCTCCAGCCCTCTATGCCTCATTTTTTAAGAATGACATGTCTTTAAGGTACATGGCCTGATGTCTTTACACGCCACAGTTGGTGCTCCATTCACTAGCTGATGGACAGTTAGCTGAGCTGTTTCCACCTTCTGGCTATTGCGAAGAGCACATTGGGACACAGAGATTTAGGCTGCTATATATTTTCAGTTCTCTTGGATTGACAAATGTAGTTGCTCTTGTGTCTCATTAACAACACCATTGAAAGACAGGTGATGAACCTAAGGCCTTATCCCACACATTGATTCACTAGAAACAGTGAGGCCAGGAAGAGGAGCTGGAGAAAGTCAGGCTCCAAGATGCTATGCCCTGCCCCTGCTCACAGTTACGGCCCTACAAGAGGCCTCAGCAGAACCTCTGAGGTTCTCAGTTGAACCTCTGACAACTACCTCCCGAAACCTTTATCATTTTGAGGAAAAGATACAAGAAAATTTTCATTAGACATACAAGAAGGAAGATATTTAAAAACCATCAACACATAGTCACAGAAACCATTACTTTAAATTTGGTCTGGTCCTTTTTTTTTTTTTTTAATTTCCTACTGTGCCATCTTCTAATTCTCCAGCGAAGACCATATCCTTACTTCTCAGTGGACTTAACCTCCCACTCTCTAACCAACTCACTGTTCTTGCGAAGGAGATGGGTAGCTCGGCAGGAGGTGGGGGGCCTGAGCCGCGGTAGTATTGTTCACGGACTTCTCTCAGAGCTGCAGATCTCAGGGCTCTGTTTGTGGGAGACAGAGCTACTGCACTCTACCTTGGAAACCCTATTTTCTGGGCACTGTGGTCGGCTCAATGTCTGTCACCAGGTAGGAGTGACAAAGAGGATGAGCAGAACAAATCGCTGCAGGTACCTAGTGGTTTGAACGGTAGGCAACTGCCAATACGGATTTATTTTCAGCCTAAGGGAAAATGGAAGCTTCACGTGCCGAGTGGGGTTCAAGCGGTCGCCGTCTGGTCCTTCCTTTTTGGTCTGCCTCCTAGTTGCTCACATTCTGGTTCACTGCAGAGACAGGCTGTTCTTCCTGGCTCAAACTCCAGGACTCTTTTCTCCAGCTGCTCAAAGTGCCCTGAGGCTTGAGTGTGGCAGAAGAGGCAAGGAGAGCCCTCAGCTGGAAGTCAAGAGGCCTATAATCAGGCCTTGGCTCCCACTAGCTGCCCTGCCTCCACTTTGTTCCCTCAACCCATGTACCCTGTAAGGAGAGGTGTGCCCTAGCCTCCTTCTGTTTCAAATCTTGGAGTATCTTCTCACGACTGTATGTATACAAAGGTGTGCTCCCAGGCCTGGCATGAAGAAAGAGCTTCAACTCCTGCCACCTGCCTTCTGTGGGCAGCCCCTTGAAGGCCCTTCGCTCTCATCTTCACACCTTGGCACTGGCTGCTCCCACTGCTTCACTTCCTTCTATTAGCTACCACTGACTGATAGTTCAAGATCACCTCCAAGGTCTCTGCCCTGTCTCCAACTGTCTTAGGACCCCTTCTTCTACCTGCCTTTCTTTGGGCTTCTGGTATGACTGTATTTTAATTGTCTATTTGCATATCTGACCTTGTCTGTCAGCTGTAGACTTCTAACAATATCACCGAATTTGTCCTTTAACCTCCGATGCCAGGATATTGTGCTTATGTTGTTTAACAAATGAGGTGTGTGTGTGTCTGTGTGTGTGTCGTGCCCTGATTCAGTCTCCCCAGTTGCTGTGATGAGATGGGTTTTGTGGTATATATTTTTGTTTTTTATTTTGGTTTGGTTTCAAGACAGGGTTTCTCTGTGTAGCCCTTGCTGTCCTCACTCTGTAGACCAGATTGACCTAAAACTCAGAGATCTGCCTGCCTCTGCCTCCAGTGTGTTGCAACTGAATGCTTGTGCCACCACCGCCTAGTGACGGAAGTTTTCATCCAACGACATCTTTAAGGCCTCCTTTGTCTCCAAGGAACAGGAGAGGCTTTATTTTAAGAACTTTTTCAATTCCTATAGCATAAGAAATGAACATGAATTCTTACCCTTCCTCAGCCACTCACAGGGATTTTATGTGGACCCAGGGAACTAGACGGGAGTATGACTGACTAAATGGAAGCTTCCAAGGAATCCTGATGATAAATATTTTACGTTCTTTGAGCATGCTTTATTTTAATGCAGACAGCATTTGCAGAGATCCTAGGAAAATGCACGCCAGTGTTAGGCACCGTAGCATGCACAAAACTGTAAGTGAATACCACCTTCCCTGGATCTCCAGCGACCATCTCATTCTTCGACATACCTCGAAGTGCCTACCAAAATCCTGTCCTGTTGGCTGCTTATTCTTTACAAGACTCACGGAAGTGCTCGGTGACGCTGGCCCATGTCCGCAAATTTGTCATTGACTGACCATTGGACTTCCACCTCTTAGCATGAGGTCCACTGAGCAGAGAGAGCATCAGGCCGGACGCCCTCTGGCGGTGGCGCTCCGGAGCTACAACCCAGCGCGGAGCTGGCGAGGGGAAAGGAGAGGGAGGAGGGGGGGGAGGCTCAGGCAGGGGAGGAGAGGAAAAAGTTGCGCTGGGAAGTTTGGAAAGTTGGGAAGTGGCTGCTGCGGGCTTTGCCTCCCTCCGCGCGCGTGCGAGGGAACGAGCGAGAGAGCGAGCGCGGAGCCAGCGAGCGCCTGCCATGCCCGGCAGACCCCGCCTCACCG